CCAGTGGTCCCAGTGACAAAGCCATTCAGAAAACCCAGAATAATTTCTTCATCTCATGGTCTATACCCTTAATTACATTTACAAAGTTCCCTTGGTCACATATGGTGACAGGACCATAGGCTCTGGGGGACTAGTGTGTGGAACATCCTTGGGGAGCCATTATTCTGTCTACCTCATGGAATAGAACCCAGTACAGAAACCCGCCAGTTAAATGTCCCTGCTCAATCCCCCACCCTTGCTCCTGCTCTGAATTGACATGTACCAAAAGGTTCTTGCTCACGGAAGCCTCTGACTCTGCTCACAACAACTGTGCTCAGGCAAGTGGTAAATAAGGGTGCCATGATTTTTCTAAGAAAAGCAGAATATCTACAATGAGCAGGACAGAAGGCATTTACAAATCACCTTATACCTAAAGCTTTCTTTTTTCTTTTGGCAGCACTGGGGTTTGAACTCAGGGCCTCACACTTGCTAGGCAGGCACTCTACCACTTGAGCCACTCCTCCAGCCCCCTCCCCTAAAGCTAGCTTGCTTTCCTTCCTTCAGTCCTTCCTTCCTTCCTCTCTCTCTCTCTCTTGCTCAGTACTAGAGTTTGAACTCAGAGCCTACACCTTGAGCCACTCTGGCAGCCCTTTTTTGTGATGTTTTTTTTCCAAATAGGGTCTCTCTAACTATTTGCCCATGCTGGCTTCGAACCATGATCTTCCTGTTATTTGCCTCCTGAGCAGTTAGGATTACAGGCATGAGCCACAGGCACCTGGCTCCCCTAAAACTTTCTTTTTTTTTTTTTTTTTTCTGGTCATAAATCAACATTTATGTCTGTTTACCTTAAAAGGAACATTTAATAACAGGAGATATTTTAACATCATTTATTATTGTTTCAGATCAAAAGCACCAGAAGGAGGTGAGAGATACAAAACCCTGTAGGGACTAAATCTTGGCATAGAGTTCCCATGGCTCAGTCTAAGACTTTCTTGATTCAGAAATCTTGTTTCCTTGCTTTGGATATGTAGGATAGTAACAGCTACCTTTTTTGAGTGGGGGAAGGAGGCATGCTTCCCACATGGCAGTGCTATTCTAAGCACCACTCTCTGAGGTAGACACTGATAGATAAGGTAGATTGCTTTATGGGTATATTACCCAAGGCATAGAAAGGGTTAGAAGCTGCCTAAGGCTACAGTTAGTAAGTGGTACAGCCTAGCTTCAGTTCAGGCTCATTGGCTAACATCTCTGTAACCACCTCCCTTATGGTCTCACACCATAAGGTGTGTGTCCCAGGAACACAGCCTATGAATGGCTGTCACGAGGAATCTCAGTTCCTACACCTGGCATGGCAATGAAGGGGTCATGACCTCATGCTTCTTTGCTGGTGTTTCCTCCAGGGCCTTGACACAGGCAAGCCTTTTGTGTCCATCTTCATTGTCAGTTTGGAGGACCAGGAGTCTGGAGAGAATGAAGGATGCCTACCTGCACTAAAGCCTTGTCTGCTTTCTCTCCCCTGAAATTTCACCTTGGTGCAATCAAAATACCTGAATAAGGTCTCGAGAACAGGGAGGCATTCCTAAGTTTGGCAGGCCTGAAAACTGAGAGATATGGCCAGGTGCTGGTGGCTCACACCTGTAATCCTAGATACTCAGGAGGCCGAGATCAGGGGATCAAGGTTCAAAGCCAGGCAGGGCAAACAGTTTACAAGACCCTATCTTGAAAAAACCCCTCACAAAAAAGGGCTGTTGGAGTGGCTCAAGGTGTAGGCCCTGAGTTCAAGCCCTAGTACCACACACAAAAAACAAAAACAGACAAACAAAAAACCAAAATCAACAACAAAAAAACCCTGATTGATATGGTTGGGAAGATGCTGGTACAGATGGGGGTTAGTTACTATTATTATTTTTCAATGAGGGGCTGTGCTCTAGTTTCTCTCCTTCTTTGGACAGCTGAGAGAACCCACACCTTATTCCTGAGGGTGTTGGTCTAGCCAGGGCTGAGCTCCCAGCACCATCAAGCACAGCTTCATCTCAAGGCCACCAATTTTTGTGCCCACCCATTTTTATCACCAAGTCCTTGTGGGGTCCTTCCCCAGCACAGGCCAAATTCTACCCACTTTTCAGGATCAACCCAGACACTACCTTTGGCTCTCTCAAGACTTGGGAAGACTTTGGCTCTTCCCAAGGTAGAAGTCTCCTTTCCTCTGAAACTGTCCTTTATATTTTCTCTCTCCTTCTCTTGCCTCACATGTGAAGGAGGCCCTCATTTTAAGGAGACACAGTAGACAAAGGAATACCAAAGAACAGAGGGAATGTGGGAGTGGATTATGTCTGCTTGGAGCAGGGAGAGATGGAACATGAAAATGAACACCAAGCCTGCAGAGATGTTGGTGCTCATGAAATTCAAGCCAGGATCCCAGGAAGAAACAACCAGTCAGTAAGGTCCACCAAAAGGGAGACAGCCAAACAAAAGTGGCCTGAGGTATAAAACTTACTTTGAAACCCTGTGCTACCCATCTTGCCTGGTCACCTGCCTTTTTTTATTTTTTTTTTAATGTACTGGGATTTGAACTTACACCTTGAGCCACTCCACCAGTCCTTTTTGGTGATGAGTTTTTTCAAGATAGGGTCTCACAAACTATTTGTCAGGCTGGCTTTGAACCATGGTCCTCCTGATCTCTGCCTCCTGAGTAGCTAGGATTACAGATGTGAGCCACTGGTGCCCAGCTGCCACCTGTCGTTTTCTCTTCTTTTAATGGTGTCTAATCTTTGCTTTCTCCTACTCTGTCTCTGTAAATTCTTTTACCGACCCTCAATCCCCAAATCCATGACATCACATTTCCTATCTACCTGGGGATGGGCATAATTGTGACACTCCAACTATAGACTGCTTACTTTGTATTTATCTGTTTATTGGTGCTTTTCCAGGTCATTAGAAACTGGGCTCCAAGAGCTTAATACGTAATGGAGAAATATCTCCATTAAGGTCAAGGGAAATATTTAAAATATTTAAGAAGTGGTTGAATCTATCAGAAAGGATGAAAATTACTGACTACTAGAAAGATACCCAGGTGGACAGTGAGTCTCACCTAATTCTCTGTTGTAAGTCACACGTGACTGGTGGGGGGCCTCAGAGGCACACGCATCTCTTCCTTAGAAGCTCCTCCCTGAAGCCTTGGCCCTGTGTGCTCCTCCCCAGCCCACCTCAAACACTCCTGGCTTTAAGACGCCTCTCCAGCTCATTAGCCGTTCCCTCCTCTGCTCCATGGAGTGTACACACAGTGCAGTGTAGTTATTTATGTCTACACCCAGTTCCCCAATTAGGCTGTCACCAGCCAGGGCAGAAGGTATGTATTATTCACACCAATGCTACATGTTTGTTGAGGGGCCCTCACTCAACAGAGGTACAACTCTTCATGCAAACCAGATCAGCTAGGCCTGGGGACATTAAATTCACTTGTTGATTTTTAAAACAGATAGATAGGTAGATATAATAGATATTTTTCCAGTGAAACTTTTTCTTTGGTGGTACTGGAGTTTTGGGGTTTGTCTTATTTATTTTTTGTGGTACTGGGGCTTGAACTCAGTGCCTTCACCTTGAGCCATTCCACCAACCCTATTTTTGGGAAGGGTTTATTGAGATAGGGTCTCTTGAACTATTTGCCCAGGCTGACTTTGAATCTCGATCCTCCTGATCTCTGCCTACTGAGTACCTAGGATTTTAGGCATGAGTCACTGGCATGCAGCAATTGTCTTATTTATTATTTTTGTGTGTGTTTATTTTTTTCTTAGTATCAGGATTTGAACTCAGGGTCTCATGCTTGCTAGGCAGACACCCTACCACTTGAACCACATTCTCAGCCCTTTTAATTGTGTTGTTGTTTTCCTCACCCTGTAGTCCAGGCTGGCCTGGAACTCATCTCCTGCCTCAACCTCTTGAGTACTGTTATTATAGATGTCTTCCACCTGGCTCAATAAATTATTATTATTATTATTCTGGTGTGCTGAGATTTGAACTCAGGGCCTTCTGTTTGCTAGGCAGGTGCTCTAACACTTGAGCCACACTCCAGCTACACTCTTAGGCATTCCTTTTTTTATACATTATTTTTCTTTACATCACATCATTTTGGATCTTTTTTGGTGGGACCAGAGTTTGAACTCATGGCTTCACACTTACAAAGCAGGCACGCTATCGCTTGAGCTACACCTCCAGTCCATTTTGCTCTGGTTATTTTCGAGATAGGGTCTTTCGAACTATTTGCCCGGGCCAGCTGCCAACCACGATCCTCCTGCTTGCTCCTCCTGAGTAGCTAGGGTTACAGGCGTGAGCCACCAGTGCCCGGCTGATTATCAATTCTTCATTGTTGGGCATTTAGACAAAGCTCACCACACATACATCTTTCTTTCAGCATTTGGTAATTCTCTTTGGACAAATTCCCAGAAAAGTCCAAGGTTAGGCACAGAGCCCGGCACTCTCCCCGCCCCCCCCAAATAGTTCTCAAAGAAGAAATGGGATCCGAGAGCAGAGAGCAGGCGGGGCAAGATTTCTTTTTAAAACAACGTTTTGGAAGGAGAAATGACCCAAACATTGTATGCACATATGAATAAAAGAAATTAAAAAAAGAAAAAAAAAACCACAACGTTTTGTTTAATTATAACACACATACAGAACCGTGCACCTACGTGTGCACCTGGCCTGATTTTCCCCAAACCTGACGTAGGACATCTCCACCAGGAGCCGCACCGCCTCTTCCCCTCTGCTTTCCAAAGAGTTTTAACGTCGGAAGGCCCAGCTAGCTCGACCAAGTCTAAGAACCTTAGCTTACCAATTAGTTTGAAAAAAACCTACACCACGAAACCCTAAGTCCTTCACAGGCTGAAGCCTGAGCCCCGCGAAAGAGGGCCCGGGGCCGCCCAAATGCCGGCATCGCCAAGCTCCCGGCGTGCACTGCGGCGTTCCCGGCGTGCACCGCGCCGCGCCGTGGCGAAAACCCGGAAGGATAGGCGGGAGCTGTGGGGACATCCTGGGTGGCTTCTTGTCCGCCGTCAGCAAAGCAGGGACAACATGGAAGTGTAAGCCTCTTGAGCATTCCGGGACTTGTCCCAGGAGCACAGCTGGGGATTTAGACCACGGGAGCTGTGGGGACTCGCGACAGGTTCGGGAAGGGCCTGGGGAGGAGCGTGAGGAAGAAAGGACTGTCGCTTGTTCCCTCGGAGTCTTCAGCCACGCACCCTCTGTGCCTGGGATACGGGGCCCAGCGCCACAGGGTCCCGCTGTCTTTAACCCCCTGGGTCGTTCATTTACGTGCGTTTCCTGTGTGGGTCACAGTCGGAAGGAGGGCCCGGCCTGGGATCCGAGCGGTGACTTAGAAGCAGTAAAGCCGTCCATGTCCATCCTCTCTGAAAGTAACCGGGGCAGAGACGGGTGAATGCTGCATGGAGCTGTGCCTGAGGCAGTGGGAGAGAACGGATGGGTTTGCTGGGGAGAAGAAACTGTGCCAGCCAGACCTGGGATGGGAGGAACAACGTGGAGTAGAGGGGGAGGGGATGTTGTGTATACAGGGGGCAAAAACTTTCTCCGCATGGTGGTTTCCCTGTTTGCCACTGTACAACGTGCAAAGGGAAATTTATGCATCTACTCTGCTCCTGAGGCTTTACCTGGTTCAAGTATCTATATCGTGTTCTTTGTAGCACGGGTTATTTAACGCTCACAAGTTCCGTTCTTTTGCCTCGCGTTCAATGATTACATATACTACAGGTTTTTTGGTGGTACTGGAATTTGAACTCAGGGCCTCATTCTTGCTAGGCAGGCACTCCACCACTTGAGCCACTTCTGCAGTCTTTTTTTGTGTTGGGGCTCGAGAACTATTTGCGTAGGCTGGCTTGGAACCATGATCCTGCTGGTGTCTGCCTCCCCCATAGCCAGGATTACAGCTGTGAGCCACCTGCGCTTTTTGGTGGTACTGGAATTTGAAGTCAGGACCTAGTGCTTGCTAGGCAAGCGCTCTGCCACTTGAGCCGCACCTCCCGCCCATATACTACAGTTTTTAAGGCTTCATTTATTTTCCTGTTCTGGGGATGCATGTTAGGCAGGGCTTGGTGCATGTTAGTCAGCCACTCTACCAGCGAGGTAGAAATTGAAGTACTTCTGTATGCAAGGCAATTGCTATTTAGCTAACTTTGCCTAGTGGCTATGGATCACTCACATGACTGGAAGCTTTATATCCCCACCCTGACCCTACTCCCTTTTTGTTTTTTATTTTTTATTTTGAAACAGAGCCTTGCTCTGTAGACCAGGATGGCCTCAAACTCATTATCCTTCTGTCTCAGCCTCCTGAATAGTGGGATTACAGGCTCTGCCATCACACCTAGCCCAGATTACAGGCTCTGCCATCACACCTAGCCCAAGTCCCTTGTCTTGAACCTAATATACACAGTTGGAAAAATACAATGGATAAATTCCGTATTGACTTTTCCAGGTTGGGTCAGGATTTCATTATATAGCTAGAAATACAGAGAGTTAAAAAAGTTGGGAATTTGTACTTAACAGTTCAGTAGCAGTATTTGCAAGGGTGCTCCTTTGCTACTCTGAAGAGGATGCCACAGGTTAAATCGTTCATTGACTTCGAAGGTTTTCTTGTCCCGAAGTTTAGCGTTTCAGAACATGAATTGATAGTGCAGGAGACATTGAGCAATTCTGTTCGTCATTGCAATCATAAATTAACTGTGTGGCAATTAATTGACAGTGTTGGCATGATTTTTTGTGTGTGTTGTGTGTGTGTGTTAGTAGATCATCTTGTTCTATTTATTCAAAATTGGGTTTTCTGAGTGGTTGTTTATGTTCATTGAATTGACTCAGCAAGTTAAGCAAATTTTACAGGTCAAATTTCAAGTAGAAAGTCAGTTTTAGTCAATGACCTTGTTACTTGAGTAAACTAAGTGATTGCTTCCCAGTAGCAGATTCAAGACAGTCTTTGAAATTCACTTGGAATACTTGCTTTAAACACCTATAGATAAAATCAGTGCCTACTCATTCTCTTCTAAGTCCTGCAGGAGAAGATGAAGTTTTGTGGAACTGGTCAGATCTGAATCAACAAGCTTTATACACACACACACGCACTTTACTGAACACTTGGAGAGTTGTAGAGGTCATTTCACCCTTTCTTGAAAGGGGACATTCTCCTTTGTAACCACAGTACCTTTATCACATCCAGGAAACTCAGCACAGATAGAATGACTGTTAAAAATATCTCATATTCAAATTTCTCCCATTGTCTAAACCATGTCATTTATCTGGAGGTTGTTCCCTGATCCAGTGAAGAATTGCAGATTGCATTTAGTTGTATTTCTTTAATCTCCTTTACTCTAGAAAAGCTTCTTAGCCTCTTTTTGTGTCATGGACTCTGTGACAGGTGGCAGTGATTGAAGAATCTAGGTCACTTGAGTTGGAGCATGTTCCTCAGCTTGGGGTTGTCTGAGTATATTCCTCATGACTAGATTCAAATCAAATACTTTTTGGCAAGATTGCTTTAAGGGATGTGCATCACATGCTCATTATTTGTGCTGTTAAATTCAGTGACTTGATGAAGTTGACGCCTATCTGATCTCATCATATTCTGTTCCCAAAAATCTGTCACTTCCTGGTGGTTGCATTAACTTCTGAGGATAGAAACTGCCTTTAAGAGAGTTTTCCAATATATGCAGCTCATTTAGGCCTTTGCAAAAGGTAGGTAGTATACTCAGTGCCTCTTTTGGGGTACTGGGGATTGAACCCAGGGCCTTGTGTGTGCTAAGCATGTGCTCTACCATTGAGATATGCTCCTGTCCCTCATTAGCATATTATTGGATAAAGGAAGGCTAAGCATATATTGGCATTTACACTGTATTTAGCTAGGTAAAAAAAATTATATAAAAGAAAATCAATGAATAATCTGCTTCTGCTAGCCAGAGTCTGCAAGATGCAGTACCTGTTTGAACTTCCATTGTTCATCTGGTCCCCAAACACAAGTTCATTAAAATGTGTACGAGGGGCTGGGATGCAGTTAGTGTTAGAGTCCTTGCCTAATGTGCTAGGCCCTGAGCTAAGTCTCTAGCACTTACAAATGAATGAACGAATGAAACGTGGAAAAGAGGCTTTCCTTCCTCTTTGTATGTTGTAGAAAAGGCAATATGTTGTAGTAGGCAGTGACTTGAACTTGGGGGTCGAGGACCAATTCCCAGGGCATGGACTAGTCTGCATGACAGGAGGGTAGGGCATAATTTGGAGATGATGTTGTACCGATGGCACATAGGATGACCCTAAACAGAGTCAGCATTTGTGTTTTCCCCTAGTTGTGTCTCAGTGCCTTGACATCACAGGCACAGGCTCCCATGACTGCATAGAGAGTTGTAACTCAATTATAAGCAAAAGTAGGAGGAAGCCTAGTGAGCTGATTTCCTGAGGAGGCAGACATATGATTTGATTTGTCATTTTTAATTCTAAATGAACCACATCACATAGCATTAATTATGCATTGTCTTTCCTGTGTTGGGTTGTTTTTAAATTAATTTTCTGTGACCTGAGTACAGTGAGATCATTTGGGCAAAGCAGCACACTTAAAAAATCTTTAGTCTGTTGAAACACTAGTAACATTTGATCAATCAAGCCTGATTTGGTCACAGTGATGATGACCTACAGCCTTGGTGGACTCTTGAGTTAACCTCCAGCTAGTTTGCTGTAGTTGTTGACAGGTGAAATCATCCATCCATTTGGCTCATGGCTTTGAAATCTTGTGTCATTTTCATCATCAGCTCCACTTCTGGAAAATGTGGTCATTCCTGTTGCATATTATGTCAACTCCGGAGTGCTCTGCTTGAATTTTTAGGATTCTGATTGCTGGTTTCCATTCATCCAGACCAGTCTCGTTTACAACTCCCTAATTATCTTCCTGTTCTCTTAGGGGTCTTACTGTGTGACCTGGCCAGGTTACTTAATCTCTGAACTTTAACTTTATCATCTATACAGTAGGAATCAAAATAATATCTCCTACATCACAGAGATTTGGGCGAGAATTAAGTGAGATAGCTTTAAAAAATAATAGCCTCCATTTATGGAGACCTTAATAAATACCAAGAACCAAGTTAAACTTTGAGAATCTGCTTCTTTTTATTCCAACAGGTTTCTCCCCCTTCCTCCCCCACACAGTACTGGGGCTTGAATTCAGGACCTACACTTCACCAGCCCAATTTTTTGTGATAGGATTTTTTCAAGATAGGCTTTCAAGAACTGTTTACCCAGGCTGACTTTGAACTGCGATCCTCCTGATCTCTGCCTCCTGAGTAGCTAGGATTACAGGCATGAGCCACCGGTGCCTGGCTATCCCAACAGTTTTATGAAGTGGTAAGAGTTGTATCAGTGATAGCATAGGTAGTAGTGATGATTATAGTGGTGTTTGGTTGGCACTCACAGTTAGTATTCCATATACTTTACAGGTTTCAATTTAATCTTGTATATAATCTTTCAAGATGGATACTATAATTGCCATTTTATAGATGAGGAAATTTAATTGTAGAGCAATTAAATAACTTTTTCAAATTCACACAGCTCATGCTATACATCTAGGTATAGTTATCCCTTTTTGTTTTAGAGGGGGTAAGCTTAGAGAGAAATTAACCCAGTAAAACTCCCAAACCTTACACATGTCATAGCTAGAATGTGAGCCTAAACCTGTCTGATTTCAAAACTGCCTCCAGGCTACTAAAAGCAATAAATGCTTTCAAGTGTGCTATTTAGAATAGGCCTGAATATAAGGCTCATTGCTGTGTTCAGGCACATATGAAAAATGACATTTTGCCTTGATCAGCATTACATAGGGGTACCAGACTTTTGACCACTGCTTAACATATAAATGCTACCTTTTGAGTTGGTAGAGATGATGAACACGTTTGAAGTTTTGTGTATTTCACAGGATTTTTTGGGGAGGCTGATACTATGCTTTCACACTTGCTATGCAGGTGCTCTACTGCTTGAGCCATACCTCTAGCCCCTTCTTAGGATTGTTGACCACTGAATTTCCTATGGTAAGGTGTTAAGTACATAGACTGATTTCTGCTGATTGAGCAGGTGGATGGGACTGCCCAGGCTGTCAGTAGCTGCTGGGAGGTGGGCATGGAGAGGGGCGTGGGTCAGGACAGAGCAGCACTGTGTTTCTTCAGTTATTTCTAACACCACACTGTTTATTGAGCCCCTCCCTGCCTTGTGCTTTTGCCCCTGTGTTCTTCCTGTAACTACCTTCTGCCTGGTGTCAGACTTCTCTTACCTTCTGCCTACATAGATTTGGGATAAGTATAGTTTCTTAGTCACCTACTTGGTGATGGGTGTGTGATCTGCTATGGCTATTATATAAAGGAAAATCTTCTCTGAAATCACCAGCGAGACCACATAGGATCTAGGACAGTTCTCAGTTTTAGGTTGTAGCTCCCAGTTCCTAGACTGGATCTCAATAAAGGAATTGCTTAGCAGACACCTAACCCCCAGAAAGACCGTGGAGCCCACACTGATGATGGCTTGCTTTTCTTTTTCAGGAAGGATGCAAATTCTGCACTGCTCAGTAACTACGAGGTAAATACCCCTGAAGTGGACCATCGCATTTCCCCTCAGAGTTTTGCATGAGGATTGTTGAGTTGGTTTTGGTTAGAAATGGGTGGGCTCATCTGATTTTCCACTTTAAAACAAGACAGCTGGTCCAGTTGGCCTTGGAGTATTGTAAGCTTGGCAAATTATACACAGTACTTCAGGGAAGCTAGGAAGACTTTTGTTTATAGTAGGTAACCTTCCCTATATCCCAGAGGTTATAAGTCATTATCTGAGATGCCTTCATGGGATGGAAGCATCTATTTTATTTTAATTTTAGCAGTACTAGGGTTTGAACTCAGGGCCTCACACTTGCTAAGCAGGTGCTCTACCACTTGAACCATGTTCCCCAGGCTGAAAGCAGCTATTTTAGAGACATTTCTGTCTACAGGAGTTTCCTATTAAGATAGTTAAAGCTGGGTACTGGTGGCTCACACATGTAAATCCTAGCTACTTAGGAGGCAGAGATTGGGAGGATCAAGGTTTGAAGTCAGCCCTGGCAAATAATCAGTGAAACCATACCTTGAAAAAACTCATCACACCTTGGAGTGGCTCAAGGTGTAGGCCCTGAGTTCGAACCTCAGTACCAGGAAAAAAAAAAGATAAATTTATTCCTTTTCTTAATTATCACCCTTATAAAATGCTTTCATGTTATCATTTTGATCTTTAAATAGTTTTAGATGTGTTCACATCCTTGTTTTGAAAGTTAGATTAGTTGACTCACCATTGTGAATAATAAGTAGGAATTACCAGATTTATAATTTGGAGGGGGCATTAAATTAGAGCTGCTGGGGAAAAGGGGAGAAAGAAGGAAAGAGGTTGGTGAGAGAGTAAATATAATAGATTTTTACCTGTCTCCTAATTTTGCCTGGGTCCAGTTTGGGACTAGCAAAATTATCTGATAGAATAACTCCAGGTACTGAAAAACAAATTCATAAATTCACTGTCAGTTTTCCATATGTCAAAGTCTATAAGCTCATGAAGACTTAGAGGAGGTCTGGATCGCCATTGTGTGATAGTGATATGAATTGTAGTTCCCACGTTCGTGTCCTGGCATAGTCAATGATTGAAGTCTCTGGACCAGGAGTTAAGTGTAAAGGCAAGCAAGTGTGTTGAAAGGATAGCAAAGCACCCTGATGGGTGGGACTTAGTGAAAGAGCTAAGCCAAACAATAGCTGGAGTCTGGGAGATGATACAGGACACTAACTGGCTTAGGTCCAGCTATTCTGCCTTGAAACTATATTTGTGATTGGTTGGCATCGAGTCAACTTCTCTCTGAACTTGGCCACCCCATCCGTCTCTTCGCTTATCCAACTCAGCATTCTAAGAAGGTCTGGTCAGCTTGTTCTGCCCTTGGGAGTGTGCCCAACTTGTCCTGGCTTTGGGGCCCACTACTCACATTGTGCAGCTGCATTTCGTTATTTTGGTGAGAGGCTTGTTATGTCTGTAAGAAACTTGTTTCTCACATCCCTTTTATATGTCTGTTCTAAAGTGCCTCTCTCATCCAGAATGGAGTCACCTCTGTCATTCCCCTTACAACACAGTGTATATATACAATAGACACAGTTGGCAACATTCTTCCTAAAGGCTCATCCTAGATGGTTGCTGCTCATAACAGGAAGGAAATGTTTGCTGGCCGAGCCATTGACTTTTGGGACCCCCCTGTCCAGCTTGAACTCTGCTATGTTTGAGTGTTGGGTCCTCTGGGAAAACATTGTGTCCACTGAGTCTTTTGTCATTTCTGAAAAGAACAGCAAGCGTGGTGGGATTGCACTGTATCTGGTAATGGTCTGTGAGCCTGTCTTTTCCTCCATTCGCTGCTAGACTGAAACCAGGAAGAAGATCCCATCCAGCACTAATGCACTTGTTTTTCCCTTGGGGGTGTGTGTTTTCCTTTGTTTATTTATTTATTTTGTGGTGCTGGGGATTGAACTCAGCCTTGTGTGTGCTACACAAGTGCTCTACCACTAAGCTATACCTTAGCCCTTCCTTTATTTATATTTTTTTGGTAGAAGTGGGATTTGAACTCAGGACTTCATGCTTTGCAAAGCAGGCTATCTAACACTTGAGCCACTCCTCCAGTCCTCATTTATTTATTTATTTATTTCTCTTTTATTTTTTTGTGAACTGTACTTTATCACTTGTCTTACAAATTTTCCTTTATAAAATTATATAAAATCTAGTTCTTTACATATTAGAACCCTTTTTTAAAAATACTTATTTTAGGAAAATTTGCTTCTAAATACTCTATAGTTTTGAGATCAGAGATTAGTAATACAGTCTACATTGATAGGAAGCATTAACTATTTTAAGTAAGCTAATGAATTTTATTATTATTTGACTTGAATAAAAGAGGTTTTATTGTTTTGTTTTTTGCGGTGCTGGGGCTTGAACTAAGGGCCTACACCTTGAGCCATTCCACCAGCCCTTTTTGTGTAGGTATTTTTGAGATAGGGTCTCATGGAACTATTTGCCTGGACTGGCTTTGAACTGTGATCCTCCTGTTCTCTGCCTCCTGGGTAGCACGAGCCACTGGTGCCCAGCTAAAAGAGCATTTTTTTTTTTTTTTTTAAATGACACATGCTTCTGGGACTCAGATTTGCTCTAAGCCAAGAGTTGCAAGGCAGGCTTTTGAGAATAAAGGGGTTTATTACCTGATTATCCTCCAAACCCCTGAGCTTGTAATAGATAACGTTTCTCATATTTACTCACAAAAATCTTCTGTGTATCTCCTCCTAGGTATTTCAGTTACTAACTGATCTGAAAGAGCAGCGTAAAGAAAGTGGGAAGAATAAGCACAGTGCTGGCCAACAGAACTTGAACTCCATCACCTATGAAGTAAGCCTGGCCTCTGCAGGGCCTGCCCAAGCTGCCCTTGGGGTAGGGTAGTTCATTGTGCTGGTCACTGGCCTCCAAGACAAGAGCACCTCTTACCTGATTGGAGTAGTTTTACTGTAATTCAGGTTTATTCTGCTTATAAAAGTGGGAGGAGTTTGGCCAACTGCAAGGGTCAGCCAGCCACAAAGCTAGAAAGTTATGAAGACTTCCCTCACTTTTGAACACTAACTGCAAGTTTGGGGACTCCTACCCAGAACCACAGAACTCACTAAAATAAACCTATTATATTTACAGTTATGGTTTGTTGCAGGGAAATGACCAAGAGAGGAAAATAGGGACAGAGTCTAGGAGAAACAGCAAACACAGAATTTCCCTCGTGCTTCCAATGGAGTCAAGATATGCTATTCTTCTGAAGTCTGGCAATATGTAACCAGGGAAGCTCGGCCAGGCCTCAGTGTCTACAGTTCTTATCAGTAGCCAGCTTCATCTTAAAACCACAGATGGGACCAACCACTACCCTGTCACATAGTTAAACCTGTCCAGGATGACCAAGGGCCCAGGAAAGATAGGCCTGTTACACATAGCTGTCCCTGGGCTAGACGCCTTCTCCAGATGCCTAGGACAAAGAACAGAACTTCTCTTTGGGCAAAAAGCCAAATTCTTTATTACACAAAAAGCAATGCAAAGTTTTATTGTTATAGACTTAGCAAGTGCCAAAAGCATAAAGAAGAGAGCACAAGTAATTCATAATCACAGGATCTGTTTTACATTTTGCTGTGTTCTCCCCCAGCTTTATGTTTTTGTCCTTAAAAAAGAAAGTTTATATTTGTTAGGTGATATTTGATTTTTATATGTCATTTTAATTGAATGATTTCTATTTCCTTTTAATTCTGATTTTTGCCTCTATAGGGGATTTGGTTTTCATTACCTTTAATTTGTTTCCAAAAACATTATTAAACTTTAATTAAGTTACTATCATCCCTTTCTAGGAAAATGAAAGGTTTAGCCCTTTCATCACCATCCCACCTCATCCAGTTTTGCTCATTTAATCATGTGTTTAAAACTATCATTCTTTTATTCAACATGTTATCTTTCATTATGTAGTTTATCTTTAAAGGAAAAAATATTTGTTGGTGATTAGTTTTGTGACCAGATTTCAAATCGTCAAGCACTTAGTCTATACCCTTAATCGATTTAAAGTCTGCCACTCTGATTTTCCTAAAGCTATTTCTTTTAATAATGGCTCCATAAGGAAAGTTACTATGACATTAAGTGTTTTTAGACTTTTATACTTAAGAACAGAGAACATATGCTTCTAGTATTTTTTTTTTTTTTTGGAGCCACTGGAATTTTTACTCAGGGTCTCACACTTGCTAGGCAGATGCTCTACCACTTGAGTTGCTCCACTAGCCCCTCTAGTGTTCTTAATATGAATGACAACTCATCTGAATAGGAAGTTCTTGGATTCACCTTTGTTCTGTAGGGTTTTATACTGATAGGAAAAAAAATTCCAACATGTCATAAATTTAATTATGAGAGTTGGAGGATGAAAGGGACAGATGGGGGAAGGCCAGGCACCTAGGGGCCTTCTTGAATGTGTGTTAAACCTTAACTCAAATTCCATCAGGACCACTTAGGCTCTATCACCTCCTGCTTACAGCCCCAGCCCATCCAGAAGCAGCAAGCACTTCTCTATAGACGCCCTCCTGTCCCAAAGCTCTCCCACCTGCAAAATCCTGTTCCTCTTACCTGTAGTCACTATAGGGATTATTATAAGTACCTTAGCCTTCCTTCCCCCAAATTCTCATTATTAAAAAATGCTCTTAGGGTTGCAGGTATTGCTCAGTGGTAGAGCACATGTTTAGCCCACGCAGGGCGCTGGGTTTCATCCCTAGCAACCCCCAACCCCCTCAAAAATGCACTCAGTGCTGATGCCATGGTCATATCTCTTAACTGCTAACTGACTCTGCACTAGTAGTTGTCCTAATACCTTTTTTGGGAAACATCTGTCACAACTCAACCAACATTTTTTTATTTGAGAGAGCCCAAGAGTATGGTTTACATAGGTATTATGTGTGTTGTCTGTTGGTGGGGAGGAGTCTGAGACCCATTTGATTTTTGTGCTTTTGAGAGACTTGGATGCTTAAGGTTACTGTTTATTTTTCCATTTGAAATTATGTCCAAGTGGGATTCCATTTAAAAAAAGAAATTATTTCAGTAGTGATTTTACTCTTACAGAAGAGTAACAAAGATAGTTCTGGGAGTTCCCCTGGACACTTCCCCTTCCTTTCTCTAAAGTTAGCATCTCACATAACCAGGGTACAATTTTCAAAAGTAAGACATTAACATTGGTCCATACTATGGAATCGAAGATTTTATTTGAATTTCCCCAGGTTTTCCACTACTGCCCTTGTTCTGTTCTAGGGTCTAATCCAGGATACCATTTCGTATTGACGAAAATAAAATTCTGATATGAACTAAATTTAATTACCAGGGTCTCACTGTGTAATCCAGACTGTCCTCGAACTTGAGATCCTCCTGCCTCTGCCTCTGCCTCTGGAGTGCTGGTATTACGGTGTGCACCACCATACTTGGCATAGAAGGGGGGAAGGCCCTGGGGGTGGGGGAGGTGGCCCAAACAATGTATACACATGTGAGTAAATGTAAAAATGATAAAATTTAAATTTTTTTTTTTTTTTTTTAAGGCAGGGTCTTACTTATGTCTGGCCTGGCCTGGACCACAGTCTTCCTATTTATGCTCCCTGCCTGGCTAGAGATGACAAGTGTTTACCACCATGCCCAGCCACTGGTTGAGATGGGGTCTTAAGAACTTTTTACTCAGACTGACCTTGAACTTTGATCCTCCTGATTGCTGTCTGCTTCTCAGATATCTAGGATTACAGTTGAGTCACTACACCTAGTTATAGAGGATTCTTAAGAGAAAATTTTAAAAGCTAAATTATAGCCATTGCTTTCTGTTTTTTCACATTTGTCTGTCTCTGTTTACCTTTTCCTTTTTTTTTTTGTAGACATTAAAGTACATATCAAAAACACCATGCAGGCACCAGAGTCCTGAGGTTGTCAGAGAATTTCTCACAGCAATGAAGAGCCACAAGTTGACCAAGTAAGTAAAGATATCTTAAGTAGGAAGAGAGTGACACACAGTGAAAAGTCATCCTCAGCAATGTCTATTTGGATTTATAATTAATACATAAGATCTTTATTTTTGGTGGCTCTGGGATTTGAACTTAAGGCATCTTGCTATGAGGACGCTCTCCACTTGAGCCAACCGCCAGCAATGTTTTGCATTGAGTATTTTCAAGATAGGGTCTCGTGAACTATTTGCTAAGGCTGGCCTTGAACTGTGATCTTCCTGATGTCAGCCTCCTAATAGCTATGATTACAGGGGTGAGCTATTGGTGCCTGGCACACGGTACTCTTTAAAGATAAGATTGTGATACTGTGGACAAGACAACTGTGAGTTAGACATACAGGCTCTTCTACACCCTTCTACAGGCACAAACTTTGTGTTTTTATCTCAGAGTCTTTTCTTGGAGTCCCAGTTCATATGGTCCATCACACCCAGCATTTGGGCCAGATTGGATAAAAGGTACCTTTATAAGTTGATCAATAAAATTGATGAACAGCATTTGTGTCTGTTTGAGACACACCAAAGGTGGCATGGTGATAGTTCATCTGCTCTTGTAGTGCCTAGTTATTTTTGGTTTTTCATGTGTAAATTCAGCTTATAAAATTTAAGAACATCATAGATCAAATAGATCAGTCATTTATACAAGAAGAAAACTGTTCCAAAAACTTCCTTTTTTTTTGCAATTCTGGGGATCAAACTCAAGGCTTCGCACATGTTAGACAGTTGCTGTATCACTGAGTTACACTCTCAACCCTTCAGAAGCTTTTGTTACCCCATTCAGGATGATCAGTAATTTTCCTTTGGAGGAAGCATTTGGTGTTCTTTTAGACACACAGATGGAACACAGTAAACCAAGCGCATTGCTCCCCTGCCTCCACTCTAGATGAGCTCTAAGGACAAACATCTTCCAAATGTGTGTGTGTCACCTTTTAGCTTTTCTTTTTTTGTGGTACTGAGGCTTGAACTCAAGACCTCATTCTTGCTAGGTGCTCTACCACTTAAGCCACTCCACCAGCCCTTTTTTGTGATGGGTTTTTTTCGAGGTAAGGTCTTGTGAACTCTGCCCAAAGTGGCTTCAAACCACTGTCCTCCTGATCTCTGCCTCCTGAGTAGCTAGGATTACAGGCGTGAGCCACCAGTGCCTGGGCCACCTTTTAGTTTTGATTATAGTGAAACACACATAAAATTTACCATTTTAACCATTTTTAAATGTACAGTTCAGTAGTGTTAAGTATTTACATTCTTATGCAACCAATTTTGAATAACACTTTCATCTTGCAAAACTGTAATTCTCTGTGCTTTAAACAGCTTCCCATTTGCTCTGCTCTGTCTACTGCAGCCGCCATTCTACCTGCTATTTCTGTGAGTTTGACTTCCTTATACAGTAGAATCATATAGTATATCTTTTTTTTAACATCTGAATTTGTTATTTAATTTTTTTCTGGGTGTGTGGGTCAGTGGCTTTAAGTACAGGGATGATTATACCATCATCCCTGCCTTGTGCCTGATCTCGGGAACAAATCTAGTCTTTGACCATTAGGTATGAAGATTTAGCTTTTTCCTCAATTATCAAGGTTTAGCAAGGTAAAATGGCTGAGTTTGGATGGTGAATTTGTCAGGATGTTCATATGGTTGTTGTCCTTTAGTCTTTTTAGTTTCTCTTGGCCTTTTTTTTTTTTTTGTGGTACTGGAGTACTGGAGTTTGAACTCAGAGCCTCACATTTGCTAGGCAAGTGCTCTTACCACTTGAGCCACTTCACTAGCCCTTTTTTTGTGTGTGTATGTGATGGGTTTTTGGAGATAGGATCTTGCAAACTGTTTGTCTGGGCTTGCTTTGAATTGCAGTCCTCCTGATCTCTGCCTCCTGAATAGCTAGGATTATAGATGTGAGCCACATGTGCCCGGCTTCTTGGCTTTTTGCCATGTCTCTGTATATTTTATTTCTAGTGAGTGTGTCATCATACATCATAACCATATGCATACCTAATCATTTTTAGTGCAGAGTTCCTGTTTTATGACTTAATGTGTCTAGAGGTCTCTACCTTCTTCATGTTATCATGATCATATTTATGGCATGTAATCTGTGTGCATTGAAAATGCTACTGACAGTGTTTTAACATTTACTTCTATTCTCTTACATATTTTAAAGAACTTGAGAGAATTGAAAGAATTTGCATATAAAAGTGGTCTTTTTTGTGGTGTTGCCATTTCTTTTAGTTCCATTCTGTCTTGTTCCCTCAGCTCTTGTAGAACAGATCTGCTGGCTGCTGAGCATGAGTTGCTTTCTCCTGTCTGAAGAGTAGTTCACTGGGTCAAGCAGTCTTCTTCCTTCCGAGCTTTGAAGTGTCTCTGGCCATCATGGTTTCTGATTAGGAATTTGTGATCACTTAGTACGTAATGTTTCACTATTTTTCTGGCTTTCAAGATTTTTCTTGTCTTTTGCGAATTTGAGTGTTTATGCTCTTTTTTTCAGTTGATTTTTTTGTGAAACTTCTTGATTATGTAAGTTTGTATTGAATTTGTGAAGTTTTCAACTGTTATTTCTTAATACTTTTTTCTGTCCCATTCTCTTTCTTGAGCTTTAAAAATATAGCTGTTAAGAGCTCTGATACTGTCCTGCAGGTCTCTGAGGCATTGTTCTTATTTCTTTTTGTTGTTCATTGGGATGATTTCTGTCCTCCTATGAGGTCACAGTTTCTTCTGTCCTCTCCAGTCTCCTGTGAAACTCACTAGTGTAGTTCTCACTTCAGATACTGTTTAGTTCTGAAATGTCCATCTGTTGATGTTTGTTATAACTTTCATCTCTTTTCTAGAACTCCTGTTGCATTCATTTTGGGAATGTTTAGTTTCACCCTGTGTTACAGTATCTTCGATTATCTTTGATAATTCCAACATCTGGATCAGCATGGGGCTAGCAGCTGCTGGTTATCTTTTCTGTTGAAAATGAGTCAGACTTTCCTGGTTGAAGTAATTTTAAATCATATCCTGGGCATTGTGAAGATTACATTCAAGGAGTTTAGACTCTGTTTCCTGTTAAAAGCCCCTGGTTAATATTGTTGGGGTTTTTGTTATTATTTGTTGGGTAGTGTACAGTCAACACTGTCAATTAGGTTAAGACTTTAAGTCAGTCTTGCTTTCCCTGGGCATAGATTACTGCGTCAGTTCTGGGTTTTTAAAACATTTGTGCTGCTGCTTTGGGTCTTTTTTTTCCTGACACTGGAGTGCAGGTATAACTAGCTTGCTTCTCTGGGCCGTTACCATGAAGGATGCAAGGGCAAAGCAGGGAGAGAAAGAGGAAAGGAAGAAAGAAGGGGGGATTCTTTGACATTTCTCGGACTAGAGGGTTTCCTTCCTAGCTCTACCTGCTGCTGCTACTCTGCTTTGAGTTTGAGCTTCTCCTGGATTTCCAGCTCTCAGGAGTCCCTTTCTCAGTCTTCTAAACCAAAGCTGGGATTTCTCTTGAAGTCTTTTCTTTCATTTTTTTTATGGTGCTGGAGTTTGAACTCTTTTTTTTTTTTTTTTAAGTTATTGTGGATCTACTGCCACAACTCTGTTCAGTGCCTACACTAGGCCCAAGGCTCTGAAAGAGGGAAATAACCCTCAGAAATTCACTTTCATCCTCCTCCTCATGTGGCTCTTTCTGTTTTGTTCCCCCCAACCCCAATCACCTTTTGCTTGCTTTTAATTGCCTTTGTATTTTATCCAGAGATTTTTCACTGTGATCAGACTTTGGTGGGTTTGTCCCATCTTGTCTCCAATAGAAGTCTTGGTGGTTGGTTTTTAAGTCTTTTTCTAGTCTGTCTGTCTGGACTGGTGTTTTGCTTCTTAATCCCTGCATCTTTTCCAGTACAAATAAGGATCTGGCTACTGTTCAAGAAACCAACAAGTGGAAATTACCTTGCAAATTGACCTGGGATTGGTCATGATCTCCATAATTAAAGCAGACTCAAATATTTACAGGTCTTGTTTCAGCTCCGTTTTTCCTTCTGTGGATGAGGGTTTATAAAGTTCTTTGTGATGTTTTAATTGCTGCCTTTTATTAAGTAGTTAAATCTATGACTGCCAGTGCAGAAGCTGCAGGCAGTGTTGTACAGCAAGTAGCCAGTAGGGGGAGCTGGCCAGCTTTGTCACCATGGCTGGCTCCTGCCCCTGGCCTGGTGATCCAGGGGTTACTCACCAAATAACTGGCAAGACATGGGCCATTTTATGCTAGACAGGGATCACACTTATAATGGGAACTGTTGATGTGCTTTCCCCACCTTCTCTCTTTTTTGTGGTGCTGGGGATCAAAGCCAGGGCCTTGGACATTTTAAGTAAACACTGTACTCCTGAGTTATATCCCCAGCCCATGATGCACCCTTTAGTCCTTAGATCTGAGTATCCCCAATAGTGTTTTTTCTACCATGCTCTCAGGGAGAGGAGGTCCATGTTAATGGCTGTAACTGGTCCAGTTCTTCCGGACAAACTCTGGTGCTGTACTAATTTGCTTAAAAGTCACTAATGTCTTTGCTGGTAAGGTAGGGACCTTATTTCATATGACTTCATAGCTTTATTCAGAAAAATGGTAGGATTGGAGCACAACTCTAAGTCACTTTGACGTTATAGCCCATGTAATTTTTTATTTAGTGTAACCTCCTTCTATTACAATCACTCCTGCCCCCCAAAATGGTTCTTTAATCATGTCAGTTCTTGACTGAAGCATTTAGTTCTCAATGCCTGGCTTGTAGCCCCAGCTCTTATCCCAAGATCTTTCCTCTGAGACAATCTTCCAGGAACAGAGGAGACATACCTTCACCGCCCAGCTTAGTCAGGTCTGTAAGTAACTTTGCATCCCTAAAGGGATTTTTTTTTTTTTTTTGATCTCTGACCTCATGTAGCTTTTATTTAACAGATAAAAGAACCCAAAAGGTAAAAGTACAAAGAGTTAAAGTAAATGCAAATTGTATTTGTTGTAATGTAGGAAAACAGTCAAGCACTTAGTAAAAGGGAAGACATTAACCAATTAAGGATTCAAGAATTTTTTCCATTTTTTTTAGCAATACTTGTGTTTGAACTCAAGACCTCACACTTACTAGGGTGGTATGCTGGGGCTTGAGCTTCAACTCCAGCCCTCAAAGCATTTCACTATAGCATGCTTTCAAATTCAAACCACTTGCAAGAAATGACTGTTACCACAATCATATATTTGTTCATTACTTTGATTCTATTCCTTTCTTTATCCTTGTCAACTAGTATCTCATTCCCAAACTAATTTACTGTGGATCCCCTAAAGGGATTTTTCTGTGCACAAATTACTCCTGGGGTTCAACACCATATTTGCACCGTGTCCTCCAGAACCACCAAGGCTCAGAGCAGATTTCCCTAGTGTGTAGTCTGCTTACTCTGTCTGTGTGTGGAGCTCAGCATCCTGCTCCATATCTCCTAGAGTTCTCGGACTTGGCTCTCTCTCGTACTTCTGGAATTCAGAGCTTCCTCAGCTCCTTCTTTAACTTATAGTCAGATTGCTTTAATCTCATCCAGCTTTATATCAGGTATTGGGGATACAGAGAAGAATCCAGTGTAAGTCCTTTGATAGTGAGGACGTACTGGAGTGGCACTAAAGTACCAGAATTTGAGCATGCTTTTTGTTCAGGAGGCCATGGTTTTAATGTAGAGGAACAGTCAGACAGAGTTGGGTGAGGAAGTGTTTTCTGATAGAAGAGACAATGTAGTATCAGGAAGTAGCCAGGTGCTTTTCTCTACAGAGTTTGCATTTAGTTAAACTGCAGTAGAAGCACTTGGGGAAAGTAGAGCCCTGTGACAAAGAGAGACTGACAAAGACAAGACTGCAAAGGGTTCTAGGGTGAGCTAAGGAAACTCAAGTTCATACCAAAATCTGTGAGGAGAGTGTACGGTGCTAAGATGACAAGATTCCTCTTTGAAAAGGTGCTTTAGGAGTGCAGCAGACCTGAAGGTGGAGGCACCGTCCTCTAGCAGGAGGGAGGAGCCTGTGGAAATGGTGGGGAGGACACAGATTTCTTAATAGAGGTAGTAGTGATGCTCATGACTGAATCTGGGCAGTGGTGGGTGGAGATTAGAGGCCCTCCAGCTGCTAGCCTTGGGCTCTTCATCAAGACAAGATGTGCAGAGAGGCGCTGCCTCATCGGAGAGGGGAGTCAGGTCACTTCGGGGTGTGCTGTTCAGAGTAGGCCTGACCTGTCTCAGCTGCAAAGGTCTGGAACTCAGGTCACTGAGTTTGAGAACATGGGTTTCTTGGGCAAAACCTATAGTACCTGTTAAGACAGATTTGGATGAGGAACTTGGTAAGAGGGTCGGGGTAAAGGATGTCAGTAGAATGCTCAAGACAGGCAAAAGAGGAAAACGTCGAAAGAGACAAAGGAGTAGCCAGGAAGAGAGAAGACAGTTGGGAAAGAGTGGAACAGTGTGGAGGAGGCCATGAGGATAGAAGGGTTTTTTTTTTTTTTTGTGGTCCTGAGGTTTGAACTCAGGGCCTCGAGCTTGCTCGGCCGACACTGCACCACTTGAGCCACCCCACTAGGCCTTTTCTTGTGTTGGGTATTTTTGAGATAGGGTCTCGAGAAGTATTTTCCCAGGCTGGCCTTAAACCTTGATCCTCCTAATCTCTGCCTCCTGATAGGAGGTCTTAAAGGAGGCAGTGAGAGCCATGTCAGGTGATCATAGACACAGGGTAATTAGGACAGACTTGGCCACTACATCAGTCAGTGTGGGGGCCACTGGGCCCCTTAGCAAGAACAGTGTCAGTGATCAGTTGGGGCAAGCACTAAAGTGCAGAGAATTGAGAAAGAAACAATAAAAATACACTGTGTTTTGAATCCAAGGGAGAGCTTGTCTCCATCATTCCTGGACCAGGGCATGTGGCACATGTGGCTCTGACTTACTCCAGCCTGTTCAGCTTCTTGGGTATAGGACAGGGAGCTGGCTTGGCTGATTTGACCTAGAGTTGGGCTTCTTGGAGAGTGGCTGTGAATGTTTCTGTTGCTAGGAGACTTTTTGTGTCCGTTGGAACCTTTCCAGTCGTTCAGAGCCTGGCAGAATAATGACTGTTTGATGAACTGAATTCGGCTTTGACCAATTTGGGGCTGAGTTCATTTATCTACTGTGTCTTTTCTCTGTTCCTGTGCTCTTCTCTATTCTTTATTCATACCGTTGGATAGTGATAGTTAAAAAGCAGAACAAAACCAAAAATAATACTTTTATTTGAGCAAGGGCTCAGATTTTCCATCACAGTTGGGCCTGCTGATTGCATTTCTCATGCTGGCAGTTTCTTTCTCTGCAGCCTTCTTTGTGTCCTTCTTCACATGCAGCCCTATCAGGGAAACTCCACTTCTGCTTCACTGAGAATATGACCCAGAATGAACTCTCCTCCCTTCAGATTCTCCCAGCTTTGCCTTTCCTTTGCCACTGTGCTGTGACCTCGGTGGACCATGAGCCCCTTTTCTGGAAACTTGGACTCAAGCTTGAGGGTCTTTCCCTTGACTTTCCAGCTGGCAGCATTCTCCACTCACGCTCCTCAGGCTGCAGTTGCTTTTCTCTTTCTGTTTTGTCAAGAGACTTTTTGTGCCAGTTATTCCTCAGTCCCTACAAATCTACTTGTCAACACAGCTATCATTCCACTGATCTGCTTGCATAGAATACTAGTGACTTTTTTTTTTCCTTGTGCCGTTCTTGGTTTGAACTCTGGGCCTACACCATGAGCCACTCCACAAGCCCTTTTTTGTGATGGGTTTTTTTGAGATAGTGTCTCAAACACTATTTGCCCAGGCTAGCTTCGAGCTGCAGTTCTCCTGATCTCTGCCTCCTAATAGCTAAGATTACAGGTGTGAGCCACCAGTGCCTGGCTGAGGTTTTTTTTTTTTAAATCAGTGACTTCTATGCTATCGACTTTCTTCCTTCTCTTGGGCACTTAACACTGTTGATGACGATCACTCTGTCCTGAAATTTCTCCCTTGATTTCCTAACAGCACTCTGCTAGGCTTTCCCTTTCCCTCTTTTGCTCCTTGTTTCTGCCTTTCCTACTGGCCCTGTAGGTGGCCGTGCTCTACGGTGCTCCATCCTGGGTTCTCTCACGGCATAGGTGGTGTCTGGGCCACTATATCCATGCCATGGCTTCACATTGACTGCTCCCTGCTCATAAAGCTAGCTTCAGTGCTATACCAAATTAGACCTCAAACTAGACAAGCTCTTGATGGACACCTCTGCGTAATTGTCAAAGTTCTGCAAACTCAATTTTAAGTAATACATGTTTTCCAAACATTCAGACTGACTTTGACTCCTGGTTGCTTCTCCCACTTCCTCCCATCCCAAGTGGGCTGCTGGAAGGCCCGAGGTTACCAGGAGCCTCTGATGTGCAGATTCTCACTGCCATCCCTGCTGCTCCTGCTGCCACTGCTACCCAGGTCAGAGCCTCATTTTCTATCCTGGGAGTGTTCCAGGCTGGCCCCTTGTCTAATGGTTCCAGGATTACTACCAGAACCTCAAAGAGCTTGTCATCTCTCCAGTGTCTGCAGAGTAGCATCCAGGCTTGTACTGTTGACCCTGTATGTCTTGTCCAGCCTCCTGTCACACCTCTTTAGCTGCTGTTTCCTAAAACTCTGAACTGTGGTTCCCATGGACATTTGCTTGTGTTGGTCCTGCCCTGGCTGTCTGTTCCTTCATCTCTTTTGTCTATGTCTGGGGGATTATGAGGAGTAGAACTACAGTTGCTATACCAGTGACTACCATTTATGGGGAAGCTGTTATGGAATAATCCTCATTGTGAACGTTTTGTCTCCTAATCACATGTCTAGTGGAAGCACATAGTCAACATGAACTTTTAGGCACATGCATGTAATCCTAGTACTTGAGACTCTAAGGCAGGAAGATGGCAAGTTCAAAGCCAGCCTGGGCTACATAGTGAGACCATCTCAAAACAACAACAAAAAAAAAGATGAACTCTTTTTTTTTTTTGGTCCAACCAGGGTCTGAACCCAGGGCTTCACACTTGCAACCAGGCACTATACTGCTGGAACCACACCTCCAGTCCATTTTGCTCTAGTTTGGAGATGGGGGAGGCTCGAGAAGTATTTGCCCCAGCTGGTCTTGAACTATGATTTTGACCTTCAGGTAACTATGATTACAGGCGTGAACTACCACTCCCAGTTTTTTTGTGTTTTGCTTTGTTTTGAGCTTTGAAAAGCTCAACTTTGAAAAGCAAGGTTTTTGTTGTGTCTTTTTGTTTGTTTGTTTGTTTGTTTGTCCCACCCCGTATCACAGTGCAGACCAAGCACAGGACCTGGACTGAGATGTCTCTTTCTATACAGTTAGTGTAAGAACACAGCCTGTTAGAAGAAATAGGAAGTCACTTTTTGGTGTTCTGAGACAGGTCTCACTATGTACCTCAAGCTCTCCTGAAACTTACAGTCCTCCTGCCTTCACCTCCTGAATGCTAGGATTACAGGCATGGCCATCATGCCTTAGGACCCTTTGGGATTGTACACATTTGTGCCATTGAGTGTGCTCATCTGCTCTCACTCTTTGGTTTTACAGGTGAAGCAGCTGAGGGCCATGTTGCAGTGTTTCTCCCACTTTTGCTTTTTCTAACAACTTGGTCAAGACCCAAGGTCCTTAGGAGCATGAGAGTTTAAATGCTTTGTACTTTTCTTTTGACAGAGCTGAAAAGCTTCAGCTGCTGAATCACAGACCTATGACTGCTGTTGAGATCCAGCTGGTGAGTGTGGGAGCCTGAAGTTGGGGGGATGGCTTCCTGGGCCTGTGATGTCGAAAGACTGAGAATGAATAAGCCAAGAGCTGGGGTTGTTTTGAGACTGCCCAACCCCCGCTTTATAGGTGAAAGGAGACCTCACAGTTTGATGAGTTAGCATGGAGTAGGGAAGTGGAAGAGTGGAGGGGATTGAATCCCTCCCCTGGAGTGGGCGCACTGTCTCTCCCCTGGTGTCCCAGGCCATCCTGGCCATTGCTTCCTGTGGGGGTTGCTGCCAACCAGATGTTATATGAAAATATTAAGCTCATCGTGTCTCCCACCCTTCAACAGAAAGCTGTTCACATGCGTTTTCCCACATAGTCTCTTCCTCTCCCCTTCCTGGCTGAGTTTGCAGAGCCAGAACCCTAGGAGTAATCCTCTTCCTTTTACTTCACTTGAGCTGTCCCTACATTCTGTTGTATCTGACTCCATGTGTTTCTTCCTTTCTCCCTACTTCATGGCTGCAATGTCTGTCATTATTCCAACCCACCTGTGGTTACCTCCCATTCTTCTGTCTCCAGCGTGGCATGTCAGATCACCTTCCATACCACCATCATAGATCACTTTCTAAACAGCTTTCAGTGGAGCCTCAGCCTTTGTAAAGTCCAATTGCAATCACAACATACGACTTCAGAACTGGGAAGCCAGTGGGAGTGGAAGGCATGAACTGGGCTAAGGAGAGCATAAAGCTGAGGTCCAGTGGTACTGAGTGAGTGGCTACTCTAGTGGACACTGCCAGTTTTCTTTCATTTACAGGGAAGAGCATCAGTAACCTACTTATTTTAACAGGCTATCTAATTGCAGGTTTAAAACAAAACAAAACTTCAGTCTAGTGAATTAATAAAATGAGAAGAAAGCAGTTTCCAAAATCTGTTTTAGAAATATTCAGCTCTTAAACACACATGCCTGTAATCCCAGCCCTCTGGAGGCTGAGGCAGGAGGCTTGAAAGTTCCAGGCCAGCCTGGACTAAGTGATGAAACATTGTCTTAAAAAAAAAAAAAGAAAGAAAGGTTCAGCTCTTTGTGGAAGAAAATGGTGAAAATATCTAATATCTTTAGAGTTTATGTATTGTAGGGTACTTTAGTTTTCGACTAAACCTTCATTATCTTTCAGAGTTGTTTCTGTCCTTCAAAATTAAATTAGAAAATTCCTTCCATTCAGGGGAACCATTCTGGAGGAACTTGCCTTTAGGCTAAAAAGAGGTTCTTTTTTTTTTGTATCCTCATTATTGTATGGCTTTAGACTTGGAGAGTCAACTTACAGCAGAGAAAAAGCAAACAACACAGGAAGAAACTAACCCCTGTCCCTCTGGTTGAAGATCACATGTATTGTCTTCAACTTTAATCTACAACATACGGTATTCGTGGCTGAGTGACAGGCACAGAGAGGGATGAGGAAGATTACATGACCTCATCCCATAGCCCATAGAAAGCTGTCATTGTGGTAGATGAGCTGCTGTTAAGAGTGCCTAGCGTAAGTTAGACATGTCCCAGGGGCCTTGTCTGTGTTGGAAGGGACAGGTACTCTCTCCTTTTTAGTTCAGAGGACTGGCGAATGCCTGGTGAGGTCTAGTTCAGAACTTTTACTGCATTCTTCCTTGCAGGTACTTTTGCATGGTACATTAGAGTTCTAGGGAGACAGAGGTGACAGATGTGAGAAGGGATTTATTAAGAGAATGGCCCATGGGATGGTGGAGGCTGAGAAGTCCCACAATAGACCACCTTGTAAGCTGAGGACCCTGGGATACCAGAAGCATGGGTCAGTCTAACAGCAAAATCCTCAGCCCCAGGGAAGCTGGTGGTGTGACAGTCAGACTGAGGTCAAAGGCCTGAGAGCCCAGAAGGCTACTGGTGTGAGTCCTGCAGCTCTGAAGTCCAAGTTATGATGAGACGAGAAGGTCCCAAGTCCAGGAATGAGAAATGGGGCTAAGGGTAGAGGAGTTCCTTGCTGGCCCCAGCTAGTTGTATGGCTCCCACCCACAGGGAGGTCTCCTTCCTCAGTCCGCCCACTCACACACCAGAAGCTATGCTTGGCCAGTTCTCCAGGTGTTCTTTCATCTAGTCAGGTGGTATCTGAAATGGACCACCATATCCAGTGAGGAGAGAAAAAGGTGGCATTTGGCCAGATTGTTCTCTTCTTCCTACAGAGTGGAGAGGCTGTCATAAATACTCTTGTTTTCCAGCGGGCTATAGCCTAAATTTTCCCATGCTAGCATTTGGCTGCAAAAGGTAGCAAATCATATACCAGGCTTGAAGCCATACCTCTTCTTACTAGAGGCGGGTAAGAGTAAAGTGGAAAGTGCAAAGGACTTGGAGCTCCCTATGTTAAATTAATCCTGTGGCCCGTATTCTCCCTGGGTGAGGAAGCCACCCAGCGCTCGACAATGGTTAGTATGTGTCCAGTTGGGAGCCTCTCGTGGAGGCAGAAGCTGCAGTCCTCAGGTATGGTCCCGCCACCACTTGCTGTGATCCTCTGGTGGCTGTGCTGACTGAGAGGGTCTGTGTGGAAGTGAGGCTGGCATGTGCCAGCGTGCCCTGCTGTGGGTTTATTTGAGCAGTGTCTGAGCCTGCTGGCCTGAAAACAGTTCAGCAAACCTGTGGCCTTGGGGGCCATTGCTGACCAGCGCCATCACTGGCACCTGTCAGTAATTATGAAAGGCCTTAGACTCTGAGGCTTACAAAACACCATCCCCTGAGTCCCATGTTTTTCTTACTAGGCACTCCTTTCCTTTGATACTGGAGAAAGTTGACATTTAGATTAACAACCTGTTCTGGGTCACAAGAGTTGAAAGTGACTGCTGTTACTGCAGGTCCAGGGTCTCTTATCTGAGATGCTTGGGACCAGAGTGTTGTGGATTTTGGGTTTTTGAGATTTTGGAATATTTGCAGTATACATGAGGTATCTTGGAGATAAGTCTCAACACAAAATTAATTTAAATTTCATGTATATCTTAACATATAGATGGAATGTAATTTTATACAATATTTTTGGTGTGTCTGCATTTTTTTTCCTTGAGGTACTGGAAAGTTTGTACTCGGGGCTTTGTGCTTGCTAGGCAGGCTCTCTAAGGATCTCAAGTTTTTGCCTAGGACGAGCCTCAGACCTTGATTCTCCTACCTACGGGCTGTCATGTAACTGGGAAGACAGCCATGTGCCACCATACATGGTTTTTGATTGGAGATGGGATCTCACTAACTTTTTTGCCCTGGCTGACCTCAAACCACGATCCTCTCAAGTAGCTGGGATTGTAGGCATGTGCCACAGTGACTGGCCTTTGTGTTGAGTGCATTTTGGCTGCAACTGGTTATGTGAGGTCAGGTGTGGAACTATCCACTTAAGCTGTTATGTCAGTGCTCAGAAAGTTTCAGATTTTTAGAGCATTTCTCATTTCAGATTAGAAATGCTCAGCCTGTATTAGGTTTTGACTCTTACGAGAAAGGAACTTCAGTATCTTTTTGCCTCTGCCTCTAAGTGCTGGGTTGAGGGTGGGGTTCAGCATGCTCAGCTTAGAATGAGGAACAGTCACATTTGGAGTTCACCATCCCAAATTGATAATCCCTGTCAGTGTCAACCCTGTATGACAAAAATTTATCATTTCTCTTGACCCATCTGCTAATATTTTGGATTTCCTTTTCCCACTTGCCTGAACAACTTGAAACCTTTGGTGTCTGAGAACAGTGAGATGTTGCTTTGAACGTGAACTTCACTTCTTCATGTGGGCTCTGTCTCTTTGGTGATCCAGCAGGGGTTAGTAAGTTTTCAGCTTAGGTTTTCTTCCTGTGACTGGAGATGTTAGATTGAAAATGAGTTCCTAATTATCTCTGAGGATTGGGTGCTAACAAAGACTCTTGAAGTTCCCAAATTTGGCAAAATTAGAAAACTCTTGCCCTTTTGCTAAGAACACACCTAGCTGATACCTGATTTTGCGTTGGGATTGGACTTCAAGAAGTCGGCTCTGAGGGCGCACAGCCAAACCCTCAAGCTGATGGAGTCTAGCATGGGAATAACATCTCTGAGAGAGGAAACAGTAGAAACCTCTTCGTGCTAACTGTGGCACCCTACTAGGAGCTGACCTGTGGAGCCCAGTGAAGGCTTCTTGAGCTGCTGATCCTCTGCCTGCCCAGCTCTAATTGATTTGCTGGGGTGTAACCACCTCCCCATGCTGCCTGGAGGCAGTGATTTCTAGAAGGCCCCTCATAAAACTGTGGAGGTCTGCACAGATACAATGTTGGGATGTGTTTACCAGTCATTCATGAACTTGGAGATAATCTTTTCTGTGGATTAAATAATGAGATCAAATTTTCCCTCCTTCCTACAGTCTGTTAGGTTACTGCTTTTAAAACCATAATTCTGAAAGTCTGATTTCTTTGGTGGTGGTGGTTGTGATGGTACTGGGACTTAAACCCAGGGTCTCACGCTTGCTGGACAGGCACTCTACCACTTGATTTACTCCACCAGCCCTTTTTTGTATTGGGTATTTTTGATATAGGGTCTCACTAACTATTTTCCTGAGTTGGTTTCAAACTGCAATCCTCCTGATGTCTGCCCCCGAGTAGCTAGGATTGCAGGTGTGAACCACCAGCATCCAGCTTGTTTCTGATCAGTAAAGGATTTACTTTTTACTGAGCCATTGCCTCTTTAGAAAAGTTATTGCATTTCACAGGATAAAGGGTAGTAGCTCTCACTGGCTATACCCCACTAGGAATACCAATACCAAAGATTGCTCTCCAGTTGTGGAAATGTTTTTAGCTGAATTGAATGCATTGTTTTGGTTGTGTGCTCATGGGCATGTCTCATGACTTCTTTAATTTCTGTTCCATCGTCTGTGAAATGAGGCAGTTACACTGAGGTCTTTTCAGGATTGTAAGGTCAGTCTTGTCTTGCTTTACTGAACTCTGCCAGGATTTCTTTCTGGCATTTCTTGTACTAGCACGCACATTTCAGAGATTGCCGTGGGACACACCATAGAATAGGGCTCCAGATACCTTAGCTGAAAACAGGGTTTGGCACAGATGGTTTGTGCCCGTGAGTGAACATGGTTAAGTGACTTGGCTGCCTTCATACTGGGCTTAAGAAGCGGTTGGCCACATTATGTTTAGAGTTAGAGGTCAGGTTAAGAAAACTGGCTGGTTATTGTGGTTATCATTGTGTGCTCAGATTTCTGGGACCATGTCAGAAAATAGGCTCTAAGGGGACCTTTGATGGGATGATGTGGGGTTGTTTTCCAGCGTCAGACTCCTGCGTTCTCAGGAGGCGACCATGGCCACATGGAGTATGCGAGTGAGCTGTCCATTGTTATGACAAAATACCTGAGGCTTCTGTCCATGGTCACTTGGTCCTGTGTTCTAGGCCTGTGACAAGGCAGAACATCATGGTGGAAGTACGTGGCAGGGCAGACTGCTCACCTCATGGCAGAGAGAGAGGAAGAGGCCAGAGTCCCAATAAACCCTTCAAGGGTGACCTCAGTGACCTCACTGCCTTCTACCAGGCCCCACCTCCGTAAAAGTTCTGCCACCTCCCAGTGATGCCACAAGCTGGCAACCAAACCTGCAACACAGGCCTTTGGGGGGACATTTGAGATTCAAACCACACTGTGGACTCTGTTAGATGCTGAGCTTCAGACTCGGGGGCTGCTTGAGATTCTAGTTCTTCCCTCTTTGGGACTGTTGTGATGGGAGAAGGCAAAGTGCAAGGTGCAGCTCCAGGTGAGTGTAGGGAGGTGAGAATTAGAAGCAAGGTAGAAATGCACCCTGGGATGTGAAGTAGCTCTATATACACTTCCAACAACCATGTCTGTAACGTAAGGAGGTGCTGATGACTGCCTATACATGTGAACTGTTTCTACCTTGCTTACACAGCATACTCACCTGAACCTGGATATGGATGGGCATAGAATGGTTGGTTAGAGTGTTCTTTTTCTTTAAAGAAAAATGTTGTCCTTCAACCCTGAGGGTTTTCTTCCCTGTACAGATGGTGGAAGAGAGTGAAGAAAGGCTCACGGAGGAGCAGATTGAAGCTCTCCTCCACACTGTCATGAGCATCCTCCCTGCAGGGCCTGAGGCTGAGCAGAAGAAAAACACCAATGATGACGTGGCAATGGATGAAGAGGACCCAGCGTAGAAGAATGCATCTGGCCCAGGCCTTCATGAAGTTAAAAGGCCCTGTGGCCATCTCCTGGACATTCAGAGGGTGGTTACTTGACTTACCCTGTATCCTAACAGGCCCAATTTCATGCTTAGTTGGGAAAATCACAGAAATGAGCTGAAAAGAAATATTTGTGCCTCAGGGAGAAGAAACATGGTGAAGGGAGGCTGAAGTGGTCAGGGCAGGAAGCTGACAAAGAGAGGACAATGACTGTGGACCCTCTAGGAAGAAGCACTTCTGTGGCCTTTGCCACAGCCGTGGGGAGGTCTGTGTACACAGATGACAGAATACTTTTAATTGGTTTCATCTGCTTTCCCAGGAGCTTCCCAAGCAGGGGCTCAGAGTGCTGTGGTTACAAGAGTCTCCTTAGATGGCTGCAAGCTCCCAGAGCAGCAAATAGTTCTCTAGGTCAAATGAACCACTGACCTTGGCTCACCTCAAGAAATTTTCTTGAGAGTAGCTATAAGAAAAGGAGATGAGGAAGAATGGACCCAGCCAACCTTCCTGGAGTCTAAAGGCTCCTTTCTCCTCTCCTCTGTTGGTATAAGTTTGTTTACTGGCTTCCTAATTAGCCTTAAATGTTAGAGGCCAGCAGAGGAGGCACTGCAGACTGAGTGACAACAGCAATAGAAATACATGCTGGCTGGCTTCTGGCACCGTGGTTTCCTGTCCTGAGAAACAGCAGCCCAGGGCAGGCGATGCCTGCAGAGACCAGGTGAGCTGCCTTTGTACCTTTAGGGGGGCACAGTTAAGTCACTTCTTGTGAACAAACTAGAGATTGGTTATAGAAATTTGAATTTACAGTTTCAAGGTTGCATCAGTTTTTTATTTTAAATTATGAAGATGATTACCACATGAAGACCTTCTTAATATTCAGCCTTTGCAAAGTTTAAAAGTTCCACACATGGTTACCATAGGTCCTCAGAATACCACCAAAATCTGACTTCCTTCATTGTTCCCTGCTTGGGGAAGACAGTGCCCATATACATTTCTTTCCCCAGTGGATGCTCATCTTGTAAGATTATTTGTTGTCAGTGCTGTTATGACTTGAGTTACTTCTGACCCCCTGTAACAGCCAGGATTTTTCAAATCCCACCCCACCCTACAAGCAGTTGGCTGTAGCTGTGCCCACCTTAACTGTACCATTTGAGGAGCAGCGGGAATCTGTTTACAGGCAACTTAGTTTTTCAGTGGTGTTGTTGGGGGATTTGAATTCAAGGCCTCACACTATGAGGCAGGCACTTTACCAGCTCATGTTCTCTTTTTAACCTAAGAGCTGGATGGTTTTTCTTGATGGATGTGGAGTTTAGGTTAATGATAGTTTCCAGATGATTGCCAGCTTGTGACATTTTACAAATCCTTGAAGAGGTTGTATTATCATAGATGGAGAGAAATAAAAGTAAACTCCGACTTAAACACTAAAATGTGTGTTTTTTTTTTTTTAAAGTTAATTCTAAATTCTTTATTGTATTTCAAGAAAATTTTGTTTCTGTATTTGAGAGCTGAGGAGTCTGGGAACTTGCTTTTCATTTTATCTCCCTCCATGTGGTTTTAGTTTTTACTGGTTTTAGTTTTACTGGGGATGAACTGAGGGCCTTAGACTTGCTAGATGAGTGCTGTACCATTTCAGCCACACCAGTCTTTTTGCTTTTAGTTTGTTTTTCAGATAGGGTCTCTCACTTTTGCCCATCCCGATCTCAGATCTTCCTCCCAAATAGCTGGGGGGATTACAGGCATGAACCACCACAACTGGCCTGTCTGTGTAATTTTAATTTTGACCATGTGATTGTCTTATTCTTTTAAAAAGAAAAAATAAGTATGTCTGTTTGCATGCTGTTCTTGTAGCTGACAAATTGCTCTAACATAGAGGCTAAGGTGCAGTCCAGACACTTACTCTGACCTTTTGGGACAGGCAGCTCTGGGATGAGCTATGGTGGGGTCTGTGGCCTGCGATGAAGGTATTGTTGAGGCCCCTTTTCTGTGATTGGACATCCTGCGATGCTTTCTTTCTTTCTTTCTTTCTTTCTTCTTTCTTTCATTTTTGGGTGGTACTGGAGGTTGAACTTAGGGCCTCAGGCTTGCTAGGTAGGCACTGTACCACTTGAGCTACTCCCAGTCCTTTTTTGTGTTGGGTATTATTCAAGATAGGGTTTCACAAACTATTTGTCTGGGGTTGGCTTCAAACCACAATCCTTCTAATCTCTGCCTCCTGAGTAGCTAGGAATGCAGGTGAGAGCCATTGGCACCCAGCCTGTGTTATTCTTAACTCACAGTCTTCTTGGTTTGCCAGCCTGAGTAAAGAGTAGACTTGTTTTTAGGACATTTCTAGGGGAAAGCTCAGATTTCCAATGCAGAGGATTTTTTTTAGTTATCCATCTTGCGGTACTTAATACTGAGCTCTTGAAAGAAGTTTTGGTATTCACCCATGTCTTTTCTTTGCGTCTTTTCCCTAAAAGTTTCATGGTAAGCTGCTGTTGCCTCACATGGCTGCCCGTTTACTTAGGAAGCAACACATCTCATCACTTTACCGACCATCATATGACATGCGGCCTTTAGGATTTGGCATCTAGTGAGAGGTGGGTGCATCATGGCGGGTTCATTTATCTCAAGGAAGAGATTTATGGTACAGTATGATGCATGGGGTTATAGAGGCTGAGATGCACCAGAAGTGCCCACAAGCTGGAGACCCAGGAAATCCCCCAAACTGGAGAGCCAGCAGTGTTTGTTAATGTGTTGGATTTTGGCCTTTCTAGCAGGTTTGTGTGTTATCATTGCTTCAGTTTGTAACTCCCTGTCAAATGCCATATTGAGCATTATCAGTAGGCTTCTTAGCTGTTTGATGAGGTGACTGTTCAGGTCCTGGGGGATTTTTAATTTATTTTTTTTAATTTTTTAAATTATTTTTTGGTGGTACTGGGGCTTGAACTCAGGTCTTCATGGTTGCTACACAGATGTTCTACCACTTGAGCCACTCCACCAGCCCTTTTTTGTGTTGAGTATAGGGTTTTACAAACTGTTTGCCTGGGGCTGATTTCAAACCAAGATCCTCCTGATCTCTGCCTCCTGAGTAGCTAGGATTATAGGCCTGAGCCCTGGCACCTGGCACCAGATACGTATGTGTTTACAAATATTTTCTTTGGGTCTGTGGCTTGTCTTTGCATTTTTCTTAAGTGTCTTTTGCAGAGACGTTTTTAATTGTAATGAACTCCAACTGAGTCCTGTTTTTCTTGTATAGATCAGCCTTTGATATTGAATCAAAAAAGTTACCACACCAAGGTCACTTAGCTTTTCTCCCATGTCATGTCCTTGTGGCTAGGTTTTTTTGTTTAGGTCTTTTTCTTCTTTTCGGGGGGGGGGGGATGTGTTTATTTATTTGGGTAATGTGTGTGTGTGTGTGTGTTTGTGTTTATTTATTTGGGTAATGGGGGTGTTTAATTTTTGAGACAGTCTCACTGTGTAGCCTAGGCTGGCCTTGACCTCCTGCCTTAGGTTCCTGAATGCAGTATGAGAAGACATGCCCCACCACACCTGCTGTTCTTGTAGTTCTGTAGTTTTGCATGTACATCTTCTAGGTGTTGTACATTTTTGCATTTAGGTCTGTGATCCATTTTGAGTTAATCTTTGTAAAAGGTGTTAGGGCTGTGTATAGATTCTTTTGTTTTTTTGTTGTATATGGATATCCATTTTGTTCCAGCACCTTTTGTTGAAAAGCTGCTTTCTCCTTCAGTTTTTATTTGTTTGTTTCTTTTTGAGGCAGTGTCTTGGCTATGTAACCCAGGCTGGCCTCAAACTCAGAGTCCTCTTGCTGGGATTACAGGGATGTACTAACTCCTGGCTTCTCCATCACTTGTTTCTCCTTCTTTGTCAAAGGTCACATGGCTGTCTGTGTGGATCTATTTCTGTGCTTCATTTCTGTTCCAGACATCAGTTTGTCTATTCCTTTACCAGTGCTGTACTGTCTTGATTACTGTAGCTTTGTAGTAAGTTTTGAAGTGAATCTTCCAATCTTGTTCTCTTTTGCCTTCTGTAGTGGGGTTTTTGTTTATATTATTGAATTGTATGAGTTTCTTTTTTTAAGTTTATAATTTTTTTTATTATGCTGGGTAGGGGTACATTGTGACATTTACAAAAGTTTTTACAATATTTGATTTCTTTATATATTCTGCATTCTATACCCATAGCAGGCACATGCTGTGCAATTATTTTCTATTTTGTAGGTGATCTTTCTCACTTTTGGGCTTTTCTTTTTTCTTTTTGGCAGTACTGCTGTTTTAACTCAGGGCCTCTGCTAGACAGGTACTCTTATCACTTGAGTCACACCCTCAGCCCTTTTGCTTTAGTTTTTTTTTTTTTTTTGCTTTAGTTACACACCTTTGAGCTTTAAAAAAGCATGGTTTTTAATTTTTTTGTTGTTATTAGTGCTTGCTAGGCAAGTGCTCTGCCACTTGAACCATTCCCCCAGCCCTTTTTACTTTAGTTTATTTTTCAGGTGGGCTAGCTTCTGTCTGGGGCTAGCCTTGGACTGCAATCCTTCTTTCTCTCCCTCAGTAGGATTACCCAGCTTGTTTGATGAGGATTTCAGTAACATTTTTGGCCTGGATTGGGTACCACCTCCAACCCTGCATAGCTGGCATTGCAGCATGCACCATCATAAAAAAGCATACTTTTTTATGAGTTAGTTGTAGTTGACACATACTAATTGTACGTATTTATGGAGTGCAGTGTGGTAATTTGATACACATATACAGTGTAATGATCCTCAAAGTAATTAACGTTTCTACCTTACACCATTTCTCTGTGTTCAGGGCCTACAAATTCCTTTCTTTTAGGTCTTTTCTTTTCTTTGTTTATTTACTTTTTGCAGTATTGAGGTTTGAACTCAGGGCCTATACCTTGAGCCACTCCATCAGCCCTTTTTTGTGATTTTTTTTTTTTTTTTTTTTTGACGTAGGGTCTCAAGTTTTTTTTTTTTTTTTTTTTTTTTTTTGTGATATTGGGATTTAAACTCAGGGCCTACACCTTGAACCACTCCACAGCCCTTTTTTATGATAGGGTTTTTCAAACAATGGGTTCTGCTTGTTCTCAAAAGAATGGTCTCTAAACTGAAGGAACCCACGAGTGGGAGAAAATATTTGCCAAACTTACATCAGACACAGGACTGGATTAACCAGAATATAGGGAATTTAAAACTAAATTCTCCAAAACTAATGAACCAATAAAGAAATGGGGACGTGAACTAAACAGAACTTTCTCAAAAGAAGAAATACAAATGGCCAGAAAACACATGAAAAAATGCTCACCATCTCTAGCATAAGGAAATGCAATTAAAACACGCTAAGACTCCACCTCACCCTTTAGAATAGCCATCATCAGCAACACCACGAAGAACAGGTGTTGGCAAGGATGGGGAAAAAGGAACCCTCTTACACTGTTTGGTGGGAATGTAGACTAGACAACCACTCTGAAAAAATTTGAGGCTACTTAAAAAGCTGGACATCGCTCTACATTTGAATCAGCATACGACTTTGGGGATATCAAAAGACTGTTACTCCAGAGGCACCTGCAATCATGTTTTGTTGCGGCAAGCTATTCCAATAGCAAGTTATGGAAACAGCAAGATGCCAGCACTGACGAATGGATTAAGAAAATGTGGTATCTTATACACCAATGGAATTTTATGCACCATGAAGAAGAAGAAATGTTATCATTCGTGGTAAATGGATGGAATTGGAGAACATCATTCTGAGTGAGGTTAGCCTGGCTCAAAAGACAAAAATCATATGCTTCTCCCTCATATGTGGACATTAGATCAAGGGCAAACACAACAAGGGATTGGACTATGAGCACATGATAAAAGCGAGAGCACACAAGGAGGGGGTGAGATAGGTAAGACACTAAAAAATAGCTAGCATTTGTTGCCCTTAACGTCAGAAACTAAGCAGATACTTAAAGCAACTGAGGCCAATAGGAAAAGGGGACCAGGACTAGAGAAAAGGTTAGATCAAAAAGAATTAACCTAGAAGGTAACCCACGCACAGGAAATCAATGTGAGTCAATCCTGTATAAGCTATCCTTATCTCACCAGCAAAAACCTTGGTCTTCCTATTATTGCTTTACTCTCTCTCTACAACAAATTGAATAAGGGCAAAATAGTTTCTGCTCGGGTATTGAGGGGGGGGGGGGAGGGGGGGGGGAGTGGGTGGTAAGGGAGGGGGTGGGGGCAGGGGGGAGAAATGAACCAAGCCTTGTATGCACATATGAATAATAAAAGAAAAATGAAAAAAAAAAAACAAAAACAAAAATAGCATCGCTCTACCATGATCCAGCAATACCACTCTTGGGGAATACCAAAAGACTGTTACTCCAGAGGCACCTGCACATCCATGTTTGTTGCGGCACTATTCACAATAGCC